GCCCCTACAGCCCGGTGCTCAGGTGAGTTGGACTCCGGGGGGGGATCCGGGGGTCGGGGGTCGGGGAGGCGCCGAAAGGAGAGTTCCGTGTTTCGGACTTGTTGCGTTGGGCGTTAACAGGGCCCATCGTATTACCCCTTGCTTTTCTTCAGCCGGGTTGACGTGGGTACGCCCAGAGGTGGCTCCTTGTGCCCTTGTTGAAAGCTCTTCAGGGGAACGGCCTTCCTTGCTCGTCTAGGAGTGCAAGGGGGTGTAGGGAGTGAGGTTGTGGAAGAGGAGTCAGGCTGGGGCTGATAGCAATGAGGTGTGGATCCCAGATGTTATCTGTAGACCTTGCGGGGACGGAAAAGCGGCTCTTGATGGATTCTTTAATAGGGGAGGTAGATACCCTGAAACGGTGGTTGATAGTAATAGATTGTGAAGATGAGTTACTTTGTGTTACTGTTGTGTGTAGTCGCTTTTTATCTGATCTTGCAATTTGAAAAAATAGAAAAAAAATGACGAGGTTTGGTTTCAGTGTTTGTGATCGCATCTAATTGTCGGTAACGTTGTAGATCGAAGTAGTGTGACCCAGGGTAAGAGAAGGTGTTAGTACGTTCTCATATTATAAACCTAGACTAGTCACCGTTGTTAACTAGTTTTTGGTATTAGCATCTTTGTTCAGAAAAATTTAAAGGGTATAATTTAATCTGGTGAAATTGCAATAAAACTTAAGTAGGTGTTACGCCTTACTTGGAAGTTTAAAAGGATTTTGGAATATGCTGTAGGTTTTTGTAAGTTCTTAAATTTCTTAACATGTGTGGCGATTCTAGGCCTTAAGGTAGAAAATACAAAATAACTTTGCTGTTCTTTTCCCGTTGGTGTTAGTAATGCGAAGTGGGTGCCAAGTATTTCGCAAATAGGCTGTCAAATCTCAGTTCTGTACAACGGATGTATCTGTAAAATTTGCACTCTTGATAGTGTCAGCTTGGCAACTAAAGATGTGAGTAGAAATCTAAGTTTGTCTTTAAGTCAAAGGATCCATGAATTTTTTCATTTGTACAGCATTCAAGCATAGTTAACGAATTTTCATCATTGATAACTTCAAATTTTGCCTTCTTGCCTTACAGGGACTTATATTTTACTTTTAACTATGGTATTTCAGGCTTGCTGAATGGTTTGCATTTTTTGCAATTGATTATGTTGCAGAAACTCATTTGGTTAAGTTTCAGAACTTTAGGTTGCAATTTTAAATGGTGCAATTTTAAGAATGGATTTTGTATTATAACTTTAGCAACGTCCTTTAGCATTTAATAGTGATATGTGTTTATATATATATATATATATATATATACATATATATATATTATGTAGTAGTGGTTTAAATAATTAGGACTGTCCATATTTAACAAATACTTGTTGAGCGCTTGTTATTTTAGGGACAGTAATATTAGCAGGGAAGAAAGGCAAAAAGTCATTGTCCTCAGGGAGCTTGCAATCGAACAGTGTAAAGGAACAGTCATTATTGAATCTTTTCGTTATGTGTATTGACCACTAGAATTTTTGAAAGGATTGGATCTGGAAGAACTTTTGAATATTTTTGGTCAATATTCCTGACAGATGGCCATTTGGTACGTGCCTGAATGTATCTAGAAGTGGAAGCACATTGCTGTTAGGCAGGCTGTTCCATTAGATGTTGGATTTGAGTTCTAGTACTGGCTTGCCCATATTCTTAGCAAAATTCTTGAAGCTTTAGTTTCCTAAACTGTAATAGGGAGATATTTTTTAAAAAATTATTTCAAGGAAATGAAACTGTCTTTTGTAAAGTATTACAGCCCTGCAGAAATTTAAGATGATCGAATTACTGTTGAATAGCTTGAATTGTTAGAATTCTTTATTTTGAAACAAATTCACTTTTTACTTTCAAATTTAATTTGAAATAGTACAGAGCAAGTGTAAAGACAGTTGTCATGTCTTCTGAGTCTTCTCAGGCCTGAAACTCATTTTTTATAAGATAGGGTTGGTTTTTGTTTTTGTTTTACATTGTATAATGTCAAATGTTCTTAAAGTGTGGGGCCCAGAATTAACAGCTAAAATACCTGATTGAGAAACCTAAAAAATTTTTTTTAAGATAGTCAGTATTTAGGAACAGTTGAACTCATTCTTCAAGCTTAATGCAAAGGTTTTTTTTTACTTCTAGAATTTAGCAGTCGTTGCAAGTAGCTTATGTTCTTTCAGGAATAAACTGCTGGATTGTAAACTATATGAAGGCAGTTGGCCTGTTTTGCTCACCATCGATTTCCTAGTATGCTGTGCTGTATCTGATCACATATAGACTCTTAATTGATAATTGTAATAGGTAAATGAAGGAATGGTGGAGTTTTCTGAGCACACAAAATATTATTGTGGATCTAGATTTCATACTTCATTTAAGTGAGTATTTAATACAGACCATATGTTGTGCTGTAAGAATTAGCAGTGTAATCTTTTTCCAGCCCACATAGAGTTTACATATTAATGAATTGTCAGTGTAGCCGATTTTAAGGAAATTCACACACATTCAGAACAGTATTGGAACCTTGGTTAAGATTTTTTTTGGTGTTGTGTCCTGGAATAAGTCTTCTCAATTGTAGTGACTTCTGCTTCACAACTTGCTCTTGCTTTGACTCTTTAGTCCTCAGCTTATGCATTTTATCAGTCTTTTCTTAACTTTAGTTTTCCCCATCTGTAGCCTACTTATATTTTCTTTACTGCTTGATAGTTGAGGTGGTGCAAAGTCACATAATAATACTGATTAGCTCTGTAATAAATATAAGGTATTAAAAAGAGGAACTATTCAGGAAGAGAAGAAAATAGTAATGATTGCAGTGTTTCATTACTGCTCTGATGAATGCCTAACATACTTTAACCCACAAACCCTTGTGTTAGTTGGAAACATTCCCACTGATGGATTGGAAAACAGAAGCACTAGAAAGTTAAGTGGTTTGTTCTAGGGTCAGCTTGGATTCAGACTTGGGTTGATATGAAAGTACATGTTCTGAATATTGTTTCATATAGGTCTTATTGTCTTATAGTAGATTCCTGAGAGGTGGTCACTTCATTTAATGATGTTTTTTGCTAAAATTTGATGCATTTGGTTATTTTTGTTCCATGGCCATTTTTTTCAGCATTTTGAGAATTCTAAAAAACATTTTTTCCTGAAGAATTTGTTCTAATTGTAAGTTTGTTTTGTTTTGTGGTGCTGGGCACTTGAACTCAAGGCCTGTAGCCTAAATTTAGGCAAGCTTTCCACCACTGATCTATACCACCCAGTCCTAATTTGTAGCTTGTATGAACAATGAGATTTAAATCTTAGATTTTTTTCTAGCATATTTATTAGTGGTTTTAGTTTAAATACATTTTGTTTCTCACAGGTTAGTGGCAACCAATCTGCAGAGGTAGCAGTTGCATGTCTATTCTTGCTGATTTCATTCACATATACTATAGGTTTGGGGAAGTAATTGTTTTGATTTATAAGGAGGGAAGTTAAGAACCTCCCACTTCTTTTTTTTTTTTTTTTTTTTTTTTGGTACCGGGGATCGATCTCCTCAGGTCCTTGCGCTTGCGAGGCAGGCCAGGGAACCGAACTGCTGAGGTAAATCCCTGGTCCGAGAACCTACCACTTCTTGCTTGTATGTTACTAGAATGAGTAGAAAGTGCTGCTGGTTACATCAGTACAAACAATAAATTCAAACCTGTTTATATATTTGCACTATGTTGTACTGTCAAGATAAATAATCTGTTTTTGTTGGTGAGTTTGAATTACTCTAAGGTGGAAATTTTCTGAATAGATTATATCAGACTTTTTATTCAACTTTAAACAGTGGTACTATTTTTGAAAAATCTATTGGAAGTGAATGTTGCTTAATATTAAAACTTAGCATATTTGTAATCTTTTCCCTTATTCTGTACTTTATTTTGTGGATATTAGTCTTTTTGTGGTGGGACTTACATTATTTTTGTTTTGTATATGGAGATGTGTCAGCTTTGGAGTGGTGTTGGAAGCTTTTGCTTTTGTATCAAGCTAAAATCAAGCATAACTTGTTTGTAGAGATTTTGCTCTTGAATTTCTATATGTAAATTGTGGGAGAATCTAGTGTTATTAACATTTTTAACTTACTGGTTCATGTTTGCAGTATGTTATTAACATTAGGACAGTGAAGTGGATTTATATTAGAAATATTAGTAGATAAAGACTGGGGTTAACAAAATAGAAATGAAAGGGTAGCGAGGAACTGAAAGTGTAATTGGCTACCTGCCTCTTCACTGTTCTTCACTTTCAGTTGCATAGAGACACTTTCACTGGGATGTGTGACCCTCTAAACACAATCTAGGGTTAAATTATTTCAACTCTTGGAGTCAGTTCCATTTTTCACTACTGCTCTTGATTACATATTTTTTACTTGTTTCCAAAGACAGTTGAAGCTCATGGTAGAAGACTTCAGTTAGTGCAGAAAAGTGTAAAGAATTTAAAATCTAAAACACCTGAGGGTGCTCAGCCTTGACATTTTGATGAGCTTTCTTCTAAACTTCTTTATGCACATATGTATAAACACATAATGATTTCCCATAAGTGGGAACATACTACAATGGAGTTTTATGCCCTGTACTTCATAGTTTATTCTTTTTATTGACTTTTAGTATTTTATTGTCTGAGTGTGGCATGACCTGTTTGGCCAAATCTACTTTGATGAAGAACTCATATTTTTGTTAAGTGTATATGTTACTAGCAATTACATTTCTGTGCATTTTCCCTATTACTTTCTCTACATTGGATTTCTTGGGGGGGTCAGATCTTTGGGTCAAAGGTAGTATACATACTTGTAATTTTGATGCACTGTCTGATTGCTCCTCTGAAGGCTTTTACCTTCTCAGCAGTGTGGAAGGGTCCATTCCCTCAGTTTCACCAACCCATGCAGTTGTCAAATACTGTATTCCATTACTATTCCATTTGCGTGTCTTTGATGTCTAATGAGGTTGAATATATTTTTAAATGGTTTCTTG